AGTGCCCTATTTTTCATGACTGCTGCATTCCTGTTACCTCTAGTCGTCACGTATATTTCGTGTTCCCTCAGATACTCGGTCCCATTGCTTATCCACACGCCCAGATATTTGTATTTATCTGTTATCTCTAGCGTGACCTCCTGTATTCTAAGCTCACTACCTTCGTTGTCATTGAAAATCATGACTGCTGATTTTTTCCTTACTGAATATAAAGTCTAACCTATCTCCCTCATTACCGCAGATGTCCATCAATCTCTGCAAATCTTCCTTGTTGTTGGCCATTAGCACTATATCATCTGCGTACATTAATGCTGGTAGTGCGTGATCAATAAGTTTTCCTTGTTTGACTAAAGAGAGGTTGAAGCCCAGTCCACTTCCCTCTAATTTTGCCTCTAATCCTTGTAGGTACATCATGAATAATAAGGGTGACAAGGGGCACCCCTGCCTAAGCCCCCGTTTTACCTCTGCAGGCTTGGATACCTGTTTTTCCCACTTTATAACTACCTTGTTACCTTTATAGATACCCTTTAAAAGATTAGTGACTACATGTTCCACGCCTAGTGTGTCCAGTATTCCCCACAATTCCTCTTGAACCACGCTATCGTACGCTCCCTTGATGTCCAAAAATGCTAGCCACAGAGGCCTGTGTTCCTTTTCTGCTATTTCGATGCACTGCGTCAGTGAGAACAGATTGTCTTCCAACCTCCTGCGTTTCCGAAACCCATTCTGCAGTTCCCCCAGCACCCCCTCATCCTCTATCCACGACTGCAGTTTTTCCTTTATAATCTGCATCGCCAGCCTGTAGACCACTGATGTCACTGTTATAGGACGGTAGTTGTTTATGTCAGCTTTGTCCCCCTTTCCTTTATAGATCATAAAGCATGGTGCCTTCAGCATGCAGCACACCCTAGTGGACGCAGTGGAAACTTCAAATAGTGAAGATAGAAGCTAGCCCTGCCAGCGACGCCTCTGCACCCAAGGCTGGAAGAAAGGCAAAATTAATCCGGGGACTGGGCGTTATTGCTGTGTGGTTGGCTGTTTCAACACGGTATGCAGAACCAGCGGCGTGTCTTTCTTTAGTTTTCCTTCAAGACCGTACGAGAAGGAGAGGCGGCATTGTTAAATAGAGGTGGTTTGATGCGTCGAGTAGATGTTGAGCTTTCTTCGAGTAATGGCCGTCATGGAGGAAATAAACAACAGGAAAGGCGCAGGCGTCACATCCTTGAAGTCAGAAGTGCAGCCACCCTGGGGCCATAGCCGGGCACACGGGGAGGAGGGGGGGCTGCTGGGGAGGGGGACGGGCCTCCTTTACCCCACTCCTCCCCTTAAGATGTCTCCTTCAGCGGGGGTGACTACTTTGTGGTGTACGCAACTTCACAACTTGTGTATGCCAGTTGTGTTCGACAAAATTATTAGCGAGACACATTGCTGATTGGGTGAAAAGGACTTTCTCTATAGTCAGTATGTTTTTACTTAAGGCCAGTGTGCTATGTATGACTGTAGTCGATCACTTTGTTGATGGCAGTATAATGTCCGACATTCAGTGTTCCAGAACGAACGGCAAGAGTTCTAGTTTTCCTTTTTCGAAGTGAATGCAACCAAAAATGAATTACTTACTCATTCAGAGGCTTTGATGTCATTTTTGTTAAGTCAAACGGGAACGTGGCTGAGTGCAGAATAAGTAAATATTTAAGTACACGACGAGAAAACTCACACGTAACACAGCGCTTCATTTTCTGTTTTGGTATGTGATATCGAGCGTATTCGAATTATGCTGTGTGAATTTAATGCATTCCTAGACAGCACATCGTAATTCGCACTTGAAGGCGATGTCAAATTTTAGAGCACAGTTTTTAGGCACCAGTTCGTGCGTTAGGTGGCTTCGGGGGTCGTAACCACACGAATGAGTGTGCCCCAGGAATTAGGCGAGCCCTACTGCCGGGTACAATAGTTCAGATTGGCCAAGTATAATGAACGTGGGAAAATGAGAAAAATAGAGATAGAGAAAAACAGAATGACAGGAATCATCATCATCATCAGCCTGACTCTGCTCACTGCAGGCCAAAGGCCTCTCCCATGTCCCGCCAGACAACTCGGTCCTGTGCTTGCTGTTGCCACTTTACACTTGCATACTTCCCAATCTCGTCTGCCCACCTAACCTTCTGTCTCCCCCTCACCCGCCTGCCTTGCCTGGGAATATAATCGGTTCCCCTAATAACTAGCAGTTATCCTGCCTAAGCGCTACGTAGCCGGCCCATGTCATTTTCTTCTTCTTGATTTCAACTACGACAGCCATAACCCCGGTTTGTTCCCTGACCCACTATGCTCTTTTCTTGTCTCTCAGGGTAACACCCATCCTTTTCCTTTCTGTCGCTCGCTGCGTAGTCGTCAGGTTAAGCTGAACCCTATTTGTAAGCCTCCAGGTTTCTGCTTCGCAGGCAAGTACCGAAAAGACGCAGCTGTTATATACCTTCTTCTTGAGGGATAGTGGCAGTCTACCAGTCACATCGACAGGAATAAATACATACAAATGTTGAGAGGACAAACAAAAAAAAAACCCCCAGAGAGAAAAAAGAAAGAGGAAAAGAAATTAAGGTGGCTTCACCCTTGTGGTGCTAAGCCTGAAGAGAGTTGCGAGGTGGGTAGCCTTCTCGGTTTCTTTTCGGTTCTCTCTTTCCCTCCTTGTATCTTCTTCCTTGTTTTTTATGGTCTTCTTGTACTTTATTTTCAATTTTGTTTCTACTTTTTTTCCTTCTCTCCTTCTATTTCTCCCGTTTTTTTTTTCAATTTTTATAGGTAGTTTGTGTTCTCTTGTTTCTCTATCCATAATAGTAAAGTCCGCACTTAATTTTGTGATCGAGGTGCCCAAAGAACAAGAGGAAGAAGGCTGCTCTTCATTGCGAGTGCGCACTCAATATGTAACAATTGGCTATGCTACATGTGATTCTATCTTAATATTATCGCCAAGGCGCTCAAAGAACTTCGAAAGACTATGCGCTCACTGAATATGCTAAGTGCGGCTATGCTATCCGTGGTTTCGCCTGCGTAATGCCAAGCGATGACACCATGCAATCGCAGCATATGTCTACCCACCCCCTTGAAACGCTCTGCGCATGAAAAAAACAGACATGAAAAAGAGATCGAAAAAGAACGGAGGGGAAGAAATAGAAAGACAAAAAACACTGAAAGCGTGTGTAAAATGACATAGAAAAGCATAAAATGAGAGATATAGGAAGAAACAAACGTATAAAAAAAGAGATAGAAAAACATAGAACAATGCAATAATGAGAACAGACAGTAATACCAAGGAAAATATAGGGGATGGTATTGGAAGTAATTGTAATGTAAATGTGAATAAAGAAAAGCTAGCGGCACATTATTTTTTCGTTGAGAGCGGCGTTTGGACCTTATCAACTTCATGCTGACGAACCCTTGCCCCCTCCTCCCTTCTCCTAGACAGGGAACACTGCACAAGCCAAGGCGCTCAACTACTCAAAGTTGCCGGCAAATGCATTACCATTAAAAATCAGATGCCTTTTCTGAACGTAATGATCACTAAAATGACTACATGTATTTGAAAATTCATATAAGCCAGAGAAAATGCGACAAGCAACTGGAAAATTGCGCAAGCAAATCTGCGAAAAAAGGAGCCCAAATCCGCCCATGATAAGCGGAACTGGTAACTCAGCTTGAAAGCCTCTTCTGATTTTTAATTCCTTCATAGGTGGCCACAATAGTGATGCATAATCATCGAGGACTTGAACTTGCGTGCATGGTTTACTTGACAGGCCTGACGGCAGAGCTTGGCAGCCGGCTGCCAACACTTGCTCAAGTATGCAGCCAACACTTCGTTGGGAATGCGAGGAGCCATAGCATGTAGCATCCTTCGTACGTGCCAACAATTTTTCCTGACGTTCACCATCGCCCACCTCCTTGCGACCCTTTAGGGCAGAAAGAGCGCTACCGGCTGTGATTTTTTTTTTTCATTCTTTAAAGGAGCATCGCTGCAAATATATACCTTTTTTTCTTTTCTTCTTGTTGCAATCTCTGTTGCAAATCTCTGTAATAGGGATTGCAGTATGAATAAATAAATAAAATAGTGGCTAATGACCAAATAGTTTTTCTTATTTATTTGCCCCGTACATAGGTAATTCTGTATAAAAAATACTTTTATATATATATATTAAAAATTAGTCACAGTGTTTTTACAACCATATGGTACAGACAATAATTTGTTATATATTGGTTTGATATACCTAGGTTCGACTAAATGCATGACGGCACACATAGATGTCACAATATTTAGCACTAGATGCGGAAAGTGTCTGGTCCCAAGGGAGTGAACGACTGAGAATACAGGTGCTGTCTCCCTTATCTCTATTTCCTTATGCAACACTGGCTTGTTGGAGCTGAAACCAGTGTGCTTCTAAATTCTTTGAGCTTGGCAACACTAAAGCGTATTTGTGGCACTGTACAGTAGAATCTTGATGTTACAAATTCGTAGGGAGCCTGCGAAATATTCGTATCATCCCGAATTCGTATGTGCTTTAACAAGTTTAGGCTGATTATGAAGATTATTGGGGTCAACTACTATACTGAAAATGTCCGTGATGTTCTTTTTAGCTTTTCTGCTTTGCTGTGTCTGAAAAAAAGCCGCCTGAAAAGAATAAAATCATGCCACAGTTTAGTCACTCACTTCTATGTGATAAGCATGTGTTCTTCCCTAGAGCAATGCCAGAGCTCAAAGCTCCATAATACAAAAATTCCTATAGAAATGTCATGTGCTGCTAGTAGTCTTCTTAACACATGTAATATTGTGTGGCAGAAGGGTGGAATCGCCTGAGGCATCAGAACGTGCAAATGGTGCAGCGTGGGAATCGTTTAAAGGTTTACCCAATGCAAAGTGCTTTGATATAATCACCTATCATCAGCAGCGACAGCATCAACCAAATCTACAGCTACGAAAGGGGCACTTGTTGCTTTACGGATCTGTAGGGGGTGTTTCGTCAATTCGTGAAAGGTAGAACTAGTGCGCAGTGGGTAATGCAGCACTGTATTTCTAGTAGACATTCTAGGGTTGTTTCAAACCTTCTAATGTTGTGTGCACAGATGTTCTTTTTCTTGTGGTACGGCTGTGGTGCTCGCCGAAAAGTGAAGCCAGTCTAGCATTTGAGAAAGCAATGCAAACGAGGCCCTGTTAGGCTTTTGCATTCTACTCCTGAAGGCGGGCCTTAAGTGTCCTCCAAATTTTCTATAATGTCGTGTCCTCAACATTCGTGTGTATACTAGTGCTGGATACGTCAAAAGCTTTCTCATTTTGTCTCGCCAGGTAGACAGAGAGAGAGACCGGGCATGCAAGAAGTCCCTCAAGGAGGACCAGGCATCACAAGGAAGTGAATGAGGGCCAAGCAAACGAACGGCAAGCAAACTTTGACTGTCGCACTTTTTGTTCATGCATGATTCAAGGAAGTCTGGCTTTTCTGGTTTTATATGAGACAAGGATGCTTGCAGCCTGGCTGTAGGCTCTCACTAGTCGCGCTTACCTTCCGAGCCACTCAAAATGAATGTATGCCGTGTATGTACTCTGATCTAACAAGCACGAATATTTGCAGCTTCCTGTTGAGTGTGCCTGAATGTATTCTTACCAGATACATGACATGCCTGTGAGTCGATGATTAGGAGAGAGAGGTGAAAGCTATTTTACTTCATGGAACAGCAAATTCGTTTTCCTGGCAGTTCCGTTTCTTCTGCGATCCAGTTCCCTTTAGCCACTGCATTTTTAATGGAAGGGAGAATGCTTGAGGCCTGTGTGTTTAGGTTTAGGTGCACATTAAGGAATTCCAGGGGGCCAAAATATTTGGAGCCCTTCACTACGGCGTCTCTCATAATTATACGATGGTTTTGGGATGTTAAATCCCAACAATTATTATAATAATTACGTGCCTTGTATTTTTTTTGCAGTTGTCATGTTTTAGTTATCATTAAATATAGAGAAGTGCATGTATCACAGCGAAGACTAGACGTGTGGTGGTCTAGATGTGGGCCGCCATCCCGTTGACAAATGCCGAGTCGCTCAATAAATGCAGCGCCTCAAACATACTGTCAGTTGTACAAAGGACGACCTGTTGTAATTCTTTGTAGCAGTAGAACTGTAGTCTAGAAGTCTTAATTATGTACATTTAGACAATAAAGTCTTGTTCCGAGAGGACAAGCTTTTTTTTTTTTTTTTGTCGGCATTGAAAAGTGTGCTATGGTTTTTGGGCCTAACTATCAGGCATGCTTTCAATTTTCACCTAGTTTAGGCACTTCATTGTCATTTTCACGGTGGTTCTCTACATTGCAGTTCCTTGTAGAAGCATCGTAAGTTCATATTTCAACGTAACAGCGCACAATAAAACGAGCAGACTGATAGCTTAAGAAACGACGTACACAGCAAGCTCTGGCTTGCAACTAACCGGCTTATTGCACCACACACCTGTAAGCAATGTGGTCGTACTCGTAACAGGGATTGCCGCTGTTAGTATAGCTAGGATGAAATCATAAAAATCATGAAAACACATGTCGCAGAAAATCAGTCTTTCTCACGCAAATCAACTGATGCTTGGCTTACACAGTTTTCTTTTTTTTAATAATATCTGCTCATCTTCAACAAAGTCTGCTAATTTCGCTGTGTGCTGTTACATGGCCGTTGCCAACTTGCAGAAGTTACCATCTTACATCACAGGTCCTTAGCTGATGTCCTTCAGTACAGCAAGCATCAGGATCTAGCTAACATATTAATGTAATTTTATTACAATAGCAGGTGCATAACTTTGAAGGCACGTTTTTTCTGTCGCCATAATGTTGTGTATAAAGTTAAAATCGATTAGAATCAACTTGTGCGTTGTATATTTTATGCACAAAATAGAGTTCGAGCGCTGCCAACAAAGGCAACTAAAGCGGAGATAAAACAAGCCAGTAGTCTCCGCTGTGTAAAATTCTCATGGGGGTAGGAGCCAAAGGGAGGGGTGGGCTGCACTGCTCCAGTGTAAATGCATGCTAGTACTGTACGGGTGGGATCTTGCTGTTTTGCGCACCATAACTCTTATTTTTACAGGCGTTCAACAGGTGGCTCATAGCTTTGCACATGTTGTTCTCTCACTGAAAAATTTGGATTGAAGACGTAACGCGACAGAAGGTCACTTCCCACGCTGCAGTGGCTTCATTTTCTAACCGACTGAGCCGCTAGGCTTACTTCACACAGTATTTCAATTCATTTGGCTCTCGCAACAAGACTTCGACTTTTGTTCCTGTCTCTCTTTTGGTACTTGCATGTTTCGCATTTCTTTGAAGACACGTCATGCATCCAGTGCTGACTGTCGTGTTGTTCGCTCGCAGGTACCCACCACAAAAGGGCACGGTATAAACACCAGTTTTGTGAACAACTCAACCCTGTTGACATCTCGAATGCCAGGGAAACTGCAAGCATGGAGATGTCGACTTCCGATATAGTGGAGGTGCACCTGTTGGAGTTGCCCGACGTTGTTCAAGACACTATCCCCACCTGCAAGTCTACCGAACGCGACCGTGCGTACGTGCTTCGGCCGGCTGATGTCTGTGAAATTGTTGACGACGCTTCTTCCGCCGCTGAATCTTCAGAACAGCTGCAGATGCTTATGACGTCAAGCAGCCAGTCAGTGGCAGCTGAAGTCGAACCAACCGCACCATCCATCCCGGCAAACTCGACTTCGCCGGGCAATGCCGATCCATCTCTGCCCGGACTGCTCCTTCCGCTTGCCACAAAAGCGGCAATACTCGCCGATGTGCGTTCGGGCAAGCTCAGCAAGGCCGAGATCGTATACAAGTACCACATACGTTGGGCCATCTTGTACGATGTCATAAGGAACGCCAGCGAAATCGACGCTGAACAGAGACGCCTAGGACTGTCTCCCGAAACGCCGGACTCTCCTCCGGGGGCGGAAAGAGGCGGCCTGAAGCGCCGGCCCAGCACTTCTGTAGCAAAGGAGGGCCAGCAGAAAGCACCGGGGGTGTTTATGTCGGAAGACTTGTACTTCAACCCACCAAAGAAGCTCAATTATATGCCAGGGCACAGCTTCAAGAGGTAGGTTTGCATTCAGGACCAATGCATGCTGAACACAACGTTATCGGAAAGCCATATGCAAGGGTTTATTATTTTTGTATTGTTGAAGGGCGATGCTACTCGAAAAAAAGGCGTATTTAATCTGTAGCCTAGGGCCATAAAATTTTTACAGTTTACATATGTTTTTATGCTGATTTCAAGTATGTAGTCATTTGTATAGGAAGTTGTATATTTTTCGTTTTGTACTATGACAATGTGTAAAATATAGCTTTTTTTTTTTTAACAAACTTGCTGCCACCGAACTTTTATGATTATGAGCCTTTAATAGCTCGTATTACACCACATTAATTGTAAAATGCAAATAACTAACAAGAAAGTGCATGTAAGACATTTCAAAGAGCAATAAAAATTGCAATATGAGGTCTCCAATTTTCAGCCTATACTGATTGCTTACTTGATATTTATACTAATTATCTAAGTAACAGCAAGCTTTAAAAAAATAATTGCACTCCTGACATGTTTAAGATTGTGTAAAATGTTTTATCCCAATCTGGCAGACAGGAGTACCAAAAACGTGATGTCCAACGTCGTGAAGTTGCCAAAATGGCATCTCGAGAAAAATGCATTTTAAACGTAGCAATGAAAGCTTAATATGTGAGGCAGAAATATGCTTTTTAAAGTGATTTCCATCATGAGAGCGTGGGAATTGTGGTTATTTTTAGCATGTGGCCTTGGTGAACTCCTCATGTGAACGGCACTCTCAAGCAGTCAGGTGACAATTTTCAGGGTACTTTTAAGCTTGAGCTGTTTAAAGCTATTTTAACCTACTTCGAGGTCAAGTACAGCCTTGATTTTTTTTTCAATGAAAATAGAGAAACTATACTTGTGAAAGCAAGTAAAAAGAAGAAATATGTAATTTTGGAATATCTTGAGTTTTTCGAGTGGCTTCTCACCTTAAAGGCACCTCATATCTTTCAGTGTTTAGTGCAGGAACTTTTGACTGACGTACAGTATTTGGGGGTTGAATCATAGCATGATTTTTTTTATTGCAACGACAGCTGTGAGAAATCGCTTGTGATATGGGCATCATGTTGCTGCAAATCTAGTGGCCAAACATAATTGGATTGCAGATTTTAATGCTGGAGTCAAAATTGCGCTGACATATCTCATACTGTCAATGCAGGAAACGAAAATACGAGTATTACGAGTCCTAAATATTTGTATTTTAATCCCCGAGTGCGCTCTACACAAGTAGGAAAGCACACTCAGGTGTGCATTATAGGAAGCGAAGTCGCACTATAGAATTGCAATGTATACCAGACAGCTTCATGCTTTTGTGTGGGAAACATTATATCAAGCAAACAGTATGGTCACAGAGGTAAGATAAGTGGGCAATCTAACAAATGGGCGTAACAGCTGTATAGCTGCGCATTGAGGCGAAATGGAGTTATTCACGACTTTTTAAATTCTACTGCCTTGTTGTACACAGGCAGGAAAATGAAATCACAAGCTTGATTATTACATCCAGAACTGCTAGCAAGTAAAAAAAAAAGCTTGTATTAGCTGGCATTCACTATCTTTAATAGGGAAGGACCGATAATAAGAAGAAAGACTGATAAAATTTAATGGAACAAAAATATGGAGCACGATTCCCCTAAAGATTAAAACTGCATGTAATTTCGGCCTTATTATTTCTATTGAGTCAAGACACACAAGCCTGTATGAATGTCCATCTGATTTTATTTCATAGTGTTCTTTTTCAAGTGGGTGCCATGCATAGCAAGCTAGTTGCAAGCTAATAAGTACGCATGTTTGCTAGAGAAAATGGATAAGTGTATTGCTGTCTATCTGATCATTTTTGTTTCTTTTGTTTCTTCCCTCAAAGTTGATACGTACACTCTTTGTTGCATTGAACCTCACACTAGCCGCTTTAGGCTATCGAACCAAATAATCCTTGTATTTCGATATTTTTTTTTGCATAAAAATAAAGTTTCCTTAATTGATTGGTTGATTGATTGATTGAAGGAATTTCGATATCTCAATGCTGGATAGTTCGCACATGCCTAAGTTCTTCCACACTATGTGCAAACTTTGATTGGGCTTCTAAATAAGGAGCTGTCAAAAAAGCGCTCGTGTATGTATCCTATTGTGCCCATTTGTCTGGAGTTTCTGCAAACCTTTGCAAGTTGTACTAATATACTGAAGTGAAATGTTTAGAGCATGTTCTGCAATTTGCATCTCGCTTCCCAAACTCGGATTAGGAACATCATTGCAGCTGTGTTAAGATACTCAATGCTGTTTGCGAACTTGCATCTCAGTCAGCAGCACGGCAACTGATCAAGCTTTCTTTACCATTTGCTCATTCCATGAGATTCCCAGTAAAACATCTCCGCATCACAGCGTATGTGTGTGTTGCGGAAAGTAGAAGCCGTGGGCAGTTTCGATGCTGCTGATGAATCTGTGTTGATGGTGCGTGTCTTAAGCAGTAGCTGCTGGCACAAAAGTTGTGGCATTTTGAACATCCGCGTCGATGCCGAGCTGTATTTTCTCCCACGAATATACAGCGTGCCACAACTTTAGCACAGATAAGTTCAGAACATTCATTCCTAATCTACGGCACATAGTTCTCATACTAGATCGATTCACATTGTAACTTTTGCAGTTTAGGAAAAGTCTGGCTCCTCAGAAAAGCACATAAAGGAAAAAGGGCTCGTATTCATCATTCCTTAGTTTCCTTGGTCCTTGCTTACCTGCATATCTGTGCTTCACTGCTTTTTGCGACTCATCGTTACCATGAAAGTAAAACAACTTGCCCACATCGCTATTTTTATATTTTAAAGACGGCATTCATAAAGACGAAATACTTGTATTTTTGAAATCAGAACGCATATATAAGTAAACCCTGCAAGTTTCTTAGAAATTGATCGAGAAAACAGTCATGAAGTGCTGTGCCCCTCCTCAGATTGCTCTTATGTTCATTAGGCCAGTGTTTAATGAAACTATGCCAATTAGCTCTCTTATCAATCTTTCTGTGAAGCTTTTTTTTTCGCTGCCTTGCAGTCAGGGCAACCCTACAGGGCTTTACCTCTGTTTTGTTTTTGTAGAGTGAAGCTACTTGTGGACGATCTGCCCGCAGCGAATACGGAGGGCGGTTCAAGCAGCATCAGCGTCGCAGCTGCAATGACCACCATGACCGAGGCAGAAATAGCCGGCTGCGGTGTGAGCACAAAGACGTCGAGGCCTGTGCCACCGGACGTGCGTGCTGCGGTGAGTATCTTCTTGACAACTGCCGAGTGTTATTTCAGGGCTTGCTGTGGTGGTTAAAAAAGGATGCACGGACAACGCCAAAAGAGGATACTCTTTTCGCACAGTATCCACAGTTGCGAAAATCCCCTCGAAAGTTTAATTTCCTTAACGCTGATTGCACCCTTGGAAGCCCAAAGATTCCAGTTCTTGATTTGAGCAAAGGCATAGCTTAAATTGAAGACAAAACAATGGGACTCAAATAGGCAAATGACAGGTGCAGCATTAGGGGACAAGAAAAGCAGAGTGGGTCATGCAGGGTGTCTACCAAGCTGAAAACCTGGAAAAGTCAGGGAATTCGGACCTTTCTGGAAAAGTCGTGGAGAAGTCAGGGAATTCCTGAAAAACCTGGCGTGGTCATGGAAACTGACAGCAGTTCTGTGCGACCGTCCCGAAAATAAGCACTAACATTGATCAAAGCTTGAAAAGTCACTTTTTCCATTGCAACTGCAGTGAGCTGCTAGGAGGCATGTGAAAAAAAAAAAAAAAGATAGTGCATAACTGTTGCTTCTTAGTGTCAACGTGAAAGGATACACCAACTCGTAGTTTACTGACATTTCAGCAGCCGATATGGGAGGGAGCCTTGTTCACAATAAGAGCCATAAAAAAAGCACAGCGTACTGAAGTACGCTTAAATACGTGACGTAAGTAGCGAGAGACCATTGTCAGAAGTGTCCCATCACTCTTGTTCAGCGTATATGCAGTTTCTGTATATGGATTCCTGGTGCAGGCATGATGCAAGCTTCTTTTAAATGCAGAGTATTTTATAGTCGTACCTACTCGTAAATCCTGCATTGGCGGTGGTGTCTACACCCCTACTGCATTTTCTTTCATCTCGTGCCAACTGTTGCTCCCCTCCCCCCCTCTCTCACCTCGCAAGACCTATGCAGGCAGAGTCTGCTAGTAAAAACTGACTGCTCGCACTGCACAACCGTTCACTGGCCACCCCATATATGTAGGCACTGTATAGGGCGATCGGAATTTGGTCAAGGGCGTCTTTACTTGGCTTTCGCTTGACTTATCGCTTTGCTTGACTCCAGTAGATGCGATGGAAGCAACAGTACCTTCAACCAGTAGTGGGGCACAGCCCGACATCAGTGTCCCACCACTCTTTGAAGGCAACGCTTCTCCTTCATTGAATACGAACACAAAATAGAAAATAACAATTAAACATTCCCAAACCTTACCCAATTATGCAACATTTTGCGTAATACCCCCACCACTCCGCGACGAAATTATTCGAGTCCCCCCAGTGGGTAGATGCGGGTTTTTACTTTATCGAGAACACTCACGTTTTACAAGTCTATTTGGCGGTCTGTAGATTCCGCGTATTCAGCGAGGGCAGTCGAGGCGACACGTGGTTTTGTGGCGTCATGTTTGTGTTGTTGAACTCTTTTCTTGAAATCACCAGGTTCACCGATGTACTTGTTGTCACAATTGTGGCAGCCTATGGCATAAACATTTCCAAGGAAATTTCTACCTGGCAACTTGTCCTTCACAATGGCTAAAGCATTGCTTAGCTGCCATGTTGGTACATGCACTATTTTGGTGCCTGTCACTTCTACATATCACACGGCATATGATTCATCTGTGGAATCAAGGAAGCTGTTGCACCTTGACAGATTCCTTCTTGCCACCACATATTCCAAGGCCAGCACTTTAAATGCTGTCCCCAGCTTTTGTGGCTGCCGTCCGAGGACTTTCGTTACACTTCAAGTGTCAGAGCTTGGAGACATAAAATACAAACAAGCAAGAGCTCGTCGGCGAAAAAAAGAAAATTTTGCAGTACAAGCTCTCTTCTTGCAACGTTGTTTTACTCGTCAAGACAACGTATACTGAGTACGCGAGTAGTAGTTCTTCTTTTTTCTTTTGCTTGCAGAAAAGCATATTTTAGGTGTGCACAAATTAGGTGGCGGAACCAGATCAATAATAAATATAGCAATCCATGTTGAATAAGATGTAGTCCTGTCCACATCCTAAGTAGTTGAGTCAGTAATTACAGCAGTTTAGGTCGATCTAATTCAATCCAATCCACATCATGAGTGGCGTGGGCTACAGCCATTATAGTAAACTAGATTATACTCAAGTGGCAGAACGAGCCAAGCTTCTGTGTCCTCATTTTATACGGATTCCGTGAGATGGCACCACTTCTACGTTTCCTAGTAGCGTTCACTGCGATGTCGGACCATCGCAGGCGTCTTCAAACTTTCATCTGCGGTTACCTTTAACTGGTGTGTTTGCTTCCTGGTTCTTCCGAAGATCAAATAGCTCAATAGCTTACTGCCTGGCTCAGAATATTTCTTTGGGTCAGAAATACATATTTTGTCACATTTACTGCATGCGCTCGGAACACTTTGAGTGTGTCTGGTAATTATGTTTACTTATTTTATAAAGAGTGTCTGATTTTTTTTAACCACTCGAAAGTTTGTTTCCAGTGCACAGAGTTTTCCAAGCAGACGTGGCGGTCGTGGAATTTGCTTTTAATCATCATGGAAAACCTGGAAAAGTCAAAGAATATAGAAATATCGAATTGGGGCAGACACTCTGGTTAGGGAACGAATTTGTGTAGAAGAGAGAGAGGCATCCGCCCAGAAAACAAATTGGAATAGTCGTACTAACGGCAAGATTGCCTAATGTATTGCCCAAAAAGCACCCTGTTTTTCTCTTTAAATGTGTATGTGCTATATTTATTATTTCTTCACTTCAAGTCGCTTTTGACGCCTCTTATGGCAAAAAGGTGAAGATGCGCATGTCGGTGATTACGCTACTTTTTGCTGGTGTATGCTGTTATCTCTACATTAGATTTGAAATGCAACACACTTTTTATTACATTAAAACGTGCAGATACACCAGCGTTTGTTCTGAGCAAAACAGTGGTGCTGTCATTGTTTGATGTACGATCTGATATGCAACAGCAGCAGTGTGAACTTTTTTTAAGCTAAGGGTCTAGCGGCGCCTGCTGACAAGTTCGAGAAGTAAGAACAGCGCCTACCGGCCTCTTCGATTAGCTTCAGTGACACAGTGCCAGAGCTAATTGTGTAGGGCCTGTGCACCTGGCTCACAAAGTGGTGTAAGGGGTCCTGCCTCTTGTTTTTCTTTAGGTGTTTGATTCTCCCAGTGTAATACTAAGCACAGTGCAGTTACGAACACCCACCAGCTAGCCCAGTTCATGGCAGTTGTAATAATAATAACAATAATTAATATTATTTGGCTTTTACATCCCAAAATCATGATATGATTGAGGAACTCTATAGCAGAGGTCTCTGGAAAGTTGCATTATCTGTTTTTTTTTCTGTTTTTTGTGCCATGCTCCTAAATCTAAATACAGGGGCTTCTAGCATTTTGCTTCCACTGAAAGGTGGACGCGGCGACCAGGTTTCGATCCCGAGACTTTCGGGTCAGCATTTGAAGGCCATTACTACTAGACCACAGTGACAGGTATGACGATACTAAAATGCAAAATATGTAACAGCAAGAAAGCTTGGTGAGCATGAACTTCGAACCCTTGAACGCTATAGCTTTTGTAGCACGATGAAATTGCAATCCAGCCCGATCTTAAGCTTTCATTTGTCAGTCTATACCCCTTGTAGCATGATAAAATTTCCATGCAGCCTCATTCATCACTGTTTAAGCTTTGATTGTAATGCATTAATGAAACAGCAGAGTTTGTTCTTGCATATTAGCATCAAAAGTTACTTTCGACAAATGCTAACTGTTCTTTTCACTTGCCTCCCTGCTGCAGTCTACGCAAACTTTGCCTTCACTTGGAAAGGGGTCACTGATGACGTTCATGTCTACTACAAATGGTACTGTTGCTATGACGCAAGTCAGCCACAGACGTCAAGCTGATAAGGTAAGCTTTGCAGCGTTAGAAACCCTGCCTTCTTTTGCCTCTTTTCATCACCAAGAGCTGCGATTTCGGGTCAGCGCGTTCGAAGAACTTCGGTCGTAAAAGTTTTGTAACATTTGCTCTTGAAGATCTGTGCCAGCCTTTGGTGCTGTGCTGTGGGAGCGGTTGTGTCAGTGCCTGTACTTAAAAAGCTAGAAAAGGCATTCGTGTGTCGAATTAAGGGGGGACGCGGCCCTTGAAAACCGAAAAATCGCGAAAAAGTCGGTTTTTGAAAAACCACATTTTTGGGTTGTATGTCTCATAAACTACCTATTCTGTAATTATCAGCACCTATTTCAACTGCAAAGTGCAAAAAAAAATACTATTTTCGAGGCCGCCGCGGCGTCCAAAACAGGCGCAAATCCTGAAATCAAACCAAACTTCGCACGCGCGCCATTCCCGGACCATGCGGTCGTCCCGCGCCATCTTGGTGTTGTTTTGACCGTGAATTCTTTTTCTCTCGTTCGCCGCCTTGCAAAATGGCGTCGGCAGCACAGTTGAGACGCTATTGGCGTTTTCCCGCGATGCGATGCGGAGCGCTGATTGGCCAGAGCAGCGCATTCATATCTCGCGGGAAAAAGCGTGCCCGCCATTGGCTGCTGTGCAGCAGCGGGGCGGTCGCTCCTCTCGATGGCGCGTCCAGCGCGCTCGCTTCGTTGTTGCTCTCTGCTCCGTCCGCCTCGACAGACGTCTGCTTACGAACCGCTCTTCGCCTTGTGCTATCTTTTCGATCATTTTCTCTCGTTTTTTTTTTCTTTTTGCACTAGTTCTGTGCCTTTCGTCTTTGTTGTTGCGGGCGATGATGGCAACAAAGCCGAAGTCAGTGCGGAAGTCCGGTGTGCGGAGGCGCGCTATGCGGCTTGTACGATCATCGAAATTCCGCTATTCTGCTGCGGGTGCCGACTGCGTAGACGCTTGCAGCGACGGAACTGTGTTGTCGGCTGTCGCCAGTCGAGAATCCGACACATCGAGTGTGGCTGGAGCCGCAAATGCACCGAGTGTTTCCGAGATCGCCGGGCTCGACACGTGCTCCGAATCGATGCCATCCTGTGTGACACCGAGTGCTTCTGATATCGCCGGACCCAGCACTTCGTCTGAATCGGTGCCATCGAGCGTGACACCGAGTGCTTCTGATATCGCCGGACCCAGCACTTCGTCTGAATCGGTGCCGCCATCGAGCGTGAGTGGACCGTCGCTACATCTGCGGACGCGTTTCCTAACGAAGGAAGAAATCGATGCGAATGCGAAACGTCGTTACGCCGTTTGCGCTGAACTCGAGTCTACGCCGGCGACGCAGAAGAAATTTCAACTGATGCAGCCGGCTCTTGCACCTGCAGTGACAAGTGAGGGCAAACATTTTTCGCTCGTTCAAATGAACATCTTTAACGTCGTGCTCAGCCGCACAGTGTGCAAAGAATGTTTGAAAGGTGCTATGACTGTCCGAGAGAGCACCAAGCTTGGACTTGCAACAAAACTTGAAGTCGTGTGCGCCTCTTGTGGCACCGTCGATAAATTATGGACATCACCCTGCAAAAAGGACACGCAGGCCTTCGATGTAAATGTCCGCGCCATAATGGCTATAAAGCAAATAGGCAAAGGGCAAACAGCTCTTAATTATTTTTGGGCTGCCATGAACGTCTCTTACAGAGGTCTTCACCACAAGACGTTTCAAAAGCACTTGAAAGAGACGTTCAGGAAGCCAGAGGCCACCGCTTTGGAGAAGTTTTATGCTGATTCTGCCACAGCAGTGATCAAAACATATAAAGAAATGGACCCCAGCTTCTGCAAGGACATCACCGTAGTGTACGATGGCACATGGCATAAGCGGGGTCACATATCACACATCGGAGTGGGATCGGTAATTGACTTTTTTACAGGTCTCATCTTGGATGCTGTAGTTCTTTCAAACCACTGCCTTGGATGCCAAACAGAGCCCAAACCTGGAGATGCAGCATACGAAAGCTGGCAGAAGCACCACATTTGCCAGAAAAACACAGACGCAAAATCGGGAAGCATGGAAGTGGAGGCAGGCTTGACTCTCTTTGGGCGGTCTGTATCCAAGCATGGCCTGCGGTACACCACTCTTGTGTCCGACGGAGACAGCCGTACCTTCGCTGCCCTCACAGAAGAGAATGTGTACGGGCTAGTGCCAATTGTAAAAGAAGAATGTCTGAACCATGTGCAGAAAAGTGATAAGCCACTGAGTGGGAAGGGGAAGCTGACTAAAGCCCTCATTGAAAAGCTGACAGGATATTATGGTTGGGCCCTGAGAAACAATTCAACTGACCTAACAGCCATGCAGCGTGCAGTGATGGCAACATATCACCACGTCACATCGACTGACCAGGACCCTCACCATGAACTTTGCCCAGAGGGGGCTCAATTGTGGTGCCGCCATAGAGCTGCAGAGGCAAAGCGTGAGCCACAGCCAAAACATAAACACAGCCTACCGGACTATGTGCTGCAGCTATGCTGCCCATCTACGAAAGACTGTCACAAAAGTCGCTTCTTCAGCACTGCCTGGGAGCGAAGACGCAAAATGCATCAGAATCATTCCACTCCATTCTGTGGTCTCTGATGCCGAAGGAACAACACTCATCCTTGATCGCGGTAGAAACAGCACTGCATGAAGCAGTGCTGCGCTACAATGCCGGCTGCTGCAAAGCAACCCAAGTGATATCGGACTCCATTGGACTTCAACCAGGTCATCTGGCCATCCAGCGAGCTCGTGAAAAAGACGCTTTACGCCTAAAAAAGAATTCTAAAAGACACCAAGAGAAGATGGAGGCCAGGCAAAAGAAGAAAAGAGTGCGCCAGGACACTTCTAGCTACTGTGCTGGAGCTTTTTGAAGAAAACACGTGTTTTGAACTTTCTCGGCCTGTTTTCTCAGAACAGATTTCTTTTGCTAGTTGTGGTGCTGAGGAAAGCAAGAACTCGAAAACCGTTCATCAGATTTGTGTGCCGTTTTTTTTATTCTGTTCCTGAATGACCTTTCAAGGGCGTAACAAGCTCCTTTTTTTGAAAATTGGTGCTGTTAATTTATAATAAACAATTAATTTTTGATGAATCTGGTCATTACTGGTTACATCAAATTCAAAGTTGCGTGAAAATTTTTGGGGGGGGGGGGGAATTAAAAAAAAACGGCTTTGTAGTGCCCTGGGATAGCTATCAAGGAATGACCACAATGAATTTCAGCTTTCTACTATGTCCTGGGATTTCTCACGACTCTTCCTCAGGCACCCATGTGAAGCACCCAGTTAAACCTCAATAACTCTGGAACTAAGAAACACAGCTTCGTGAAACTTAGCCGTTGTGCTAGTTTTATTGTAGTGAACAACCCCTGAAAGTTTCATCCAGATATCTTAAAAAATAAAAAAGTTCGGTCTCCAGGGTAGCCTCCCCCCTTAAGACCGCATTGTGTGTGTCATAGAATGAGTTTTTATAAACAAAAGAGTGATGTCTGGTGTTTTAATTGCCGAAGCCACGATTCTCTTATGTTGCATTCCATATTATACTACTCGAAGTAAATTTTTTATGACCAGTTGTTTTGCATGCTGTGGAAGCATCGCTATATTGCATTCCACCCAGATTCATATACAGCTATCGTTTTTGAAGTTGAACCCACAATCAGTGCTCTTCTGAACTATGCCCACATTAAAGCATAGTAGCTTTTTAGTTTAACGAAATGGCTTTACTGAGATTTTTTTTCTTGTCCCACTGGAGTGCATGAATATAGCATCCTAATAGTCACATGGAACTTTTCTTTTGTAGAGACAAAAAACCGAGACTCTTTCATATGATAAAATCTTCTTGAAGCTAACTCTTTTTATTGCATAATAATAAATTACCCAAGAATTTACGACTTGAGAGAATAGAAAAGTGTGGCTGCAGCTGCTTGGATCCTCACTTCATATGTAGGGCCAGCGCTGCCACGCGCGCGTGACGACATTTCCGCAGGTAAAATGGCCGGCAACTGATCATTCGTCCATCACAATGTAGTAAACGAGTTTTATGCCAGAATACTGGCTGTGGCTGAAAACTGTTTATCTTCAGCAGCTCCCAACATGCTTTAGTTTTGCAACATTGAAAATGCTTTGCAGCAAGTTAGAACAAAGCTATTGAGTGCCAGATCCCCATGTGGACAAGACCGTGGCCACTAACTGTTCAAGATAGGGATGTGGACAGCGCCGCGTTGTTGTAATTGTTTTCACTCTTTTGCGTGTCACATATGCGACGCTTTGCGCTTGGTGCGTTCCACTGGTTGTCCAAATTAACCGAGTCGTGTCCGGACATGATTGAATGAATGCGAGTTTCATGTCATCAAACAATGCATAGGCTGACTGTGACTAGGGAACACATCCGAATTAAAGTGGGTCGAATTAACATTCTCTTACTGTATTACAATAACCCGGAATGCGTACAACATGAGAATGAATGTTTCAAACCTTTTGAAGAAAACTTACGGTGCATTGAAGATTTGCGAGTGAGTCATCCTCAAGCTGGGATTTTCCTTATGAAAGTTCAACCTGCCGTACCTTTTCAATAAATGGGCCTGAAACATTAATTCTGGTTTTGCCTACAGCGTTCGTTCAAAACTGTTGTGGTGTGGGCTTTTTGACTTTGAGAGTATATAAATACACGATGCTCTGATCAAGGTACACCTAGCCCCATTAAAAGACATGCGCAGAGCAGGGGTGGAAGTGCTGCGCCGATCGCACCATTTTGCGCCAATCTAACCTGCTGTGCCAGGCTGCGCATAAATGGAAATTTCCGTGATAATTGTAGATTGGAAGTGGAAGTTGCCAAATCTAACCGATTATTATCATCGACCGAGCAACACTGAGTGCTTGTTACACACAGCACATGGCCGCATCCATATCCAGTGTAGCTCGATCGCGTTGTTTTTGAGCTTGCTCGTGCTCGTCTCATTGCGATTGTCACTGTGATTTTCCCGCTATAGTGGTGGCACCAACATGAGTAACGGTGTGTTGTCTAGTAATACAGTCAAACGTCGATAATTTGTACCAGCCGGGAATTTGCCATGATCATGCACTAAACGGCAGTGCATGCTTACAAGCACAAATGTGCACCTCCTGAAACAGATACAGTACCAGAGCAGATGTTGCCCAAAGTACCCACCAGAAAGTCTTTTTTTCATTTTTTCAAAGCGCAGAAAAAAGATACTGGGCTCATATTCTCAGCACGATCTTTTTATTGTGCACAGTGTTGACACCAAGGAGCGCTTCGAAACTATTGCGGGGTCCGGCTCGTCCGGACCCCGCAATAGTCTCTGCGTACGCAGAGGCTGAGATAACAACAGAACAGACACTATCGGCTTTCCGCGATACATGTGTGCCTCTCTACTGCGATCTGATGCTAAGCGACAACTGACAGTTTCAATGAAACATGGAGTCGTCACGTGGGCTTAGATGATATCCTGGTTAGTTGCATGCAGCGCGGCGCCTATGCAACCCATGCCATCGCTGCCCGGCTGCTCACTCTACCGTGCGTGCTGATTTGCAGTATAAATTGCTGCCGAGACCGAGCAGAGTAGGGTGTTTAATTAGCATGGGAATAACAAACTTCCGCCAATCGAAGTTTGCGCGATTATTTATGCTTCGTTTCACTCATTAGGTGCCACACCAGTTGCAACGCTGTGGTGGCTTGCGAGACTCGTTGCAGTAAGTGCGTTCACGTGAAGAAATAGTTCCCTTTTTTTTACCACCCAGATTACATTTTTGCTTTAGTTTTATGCCAAGTAATAAATGAATATGTTTTGTATCACACACACACGTATTTGTGGGTGGTACATCTAGTAAGCCCATTAGTACTGCATGTTTTGGGAGAATTATTGGAACTTCTTTCATCAGAAATAATTTTTATTCACGACGATTTTTTATTTTAGAAAGCTGCTTCGAAACTAACTCTTGTTGCTCCGAAACACACCTTTTGGTGCTCCGAACCTCCTCCAAAACTCCCCTTTTACTGCGCCAAGGCTGCTCCGAAACAGCCATTATTCCTGCTCCGTGTGGTGCTCAAAAACCTCGGAAGTCCACTTCCACCCCTGACAGAAGCACAGCGCTTGTCCCTTCGATAAGGTGTCTTGTGAAAGTGGGGTACTATGTTTTCATTTTTTTCTTCAACTCTTACAACAAGGTAGGTACACTGTTATCTCTTCAACCTGAATTGTCTCTTACATACGTGTCTTCCATGAAGGTGTTTAACTGTACATGATATGGTTGATATTTTAAAAGGCTGTAAATTTTACTTGAAAAATAGTTACATATTTGGAATCTGGACATGAAACTGCGTAATCTGTGATGTTTCATAAAAATCTACTCGTATTTTAAAAAATACGGATCTAAACCTGGGTTTTACCTGAATGTTGCCGGGCATCATCAACAGTACTCAAATTGACATGACGCACTCGGTTCTTTCCGGTAACACTGCAGGTGCGATCCTCATTTCTGTTGTAGGGTTCAGGAACCAGTACACAGGACTCCGGCACACAGCCTTCCGTCGTGAACCCGGAAGGGGACAGCAGAATGGTGCGATCATTGGAGCACTTACGACCCCGCCGTAAGGCGAAGATTCGCAAAGTCAGTGGTGCTCGTCGGTCGAACGCTGTACCCTCTCCACAATTGCCGCTCGCGACCGAACCCGCAGACTCTCTGACTTCTGCACAGTCATCCGGCTTCGCTTTGACATTGGTTAAGCAAGAAGTCTCCAGCGACATAGAGGCCGAAGATATTGAGTATGATCCCGTTGTTGTTCCAAAGCAAGAACCTCTTTCACCGCAAGAAGAAGACTGTGATGACTCTGTTAGGAAGTGCGAGGTGGACGATGAACGCTGTGGTGATATCATTGTGAAATGTGAGGTTGACGCCGATGGTGGTGATGAACAGACTTTTCAGCCGCCTTTGCCTAGGAGTGTGAACCAGTGGGATGATGTCACTGTAAAGACTGAACCACCATCGCCATGATACACTGTAGACATGACTCATTCTTATTGTGTTTCACAGGTAATGTGCATCAAGCTTAATGAAGTAAGAAGAAACTTCTGTGCAAGAGCGCAATCTGCAGTTGGCAGATTTTGTACCACCTCTAGAAGCGTTCAGTATTTTTGGTGTGCTTACTAATTGAGTCAGACTTGCTACTTCAAGGTTTTTGATATGTTTCATGTGGCACATTTGAAAGGAAATTACTTCCGATTGTTTGCAAAGGAACATTTCTTGTTTTACTCTTGTCTTTACTAGTTGAAACAACTGTTGTGCGAATGCGGTGCGCAGCAGTGGGTTTTTCAGAAAAGCTTCTCAGTTTTTTTCGCCACAGGATGATAAGCTGTGTGATCAGTATTAAGCTATTCAACTTCTGTTGTTAGGTGTGTCATGGTGGTTAGTAAAGATCATCTCATGTGTATATTGTTGGTTGTGTTTTTCTACAAGCACTGGCACTTGTCAGACGCTAATAGGTTTCCTGATAAGAGCATTCCTTGCTATGAACAAAAGTGGAAGGAGAGAGGGTGGATAATAAAGTGGTCCATGTCACGTGACTTGCATGAACAGATGGGACAGTTTCATCAGTAATGTTTGTCATCTAGATATGTGTCAGGTGTTATACATGCAGAATTTTGTGTATACAAATAAAACGACTTGGCAGGCGTCTTCTGCCTGCCATCATATGGTAACATATTCTATCGAATGGAATATGTCACCAGTTGATTTAGTTGGCCGCAAGACTGCGGATTTATTCTATGAGGCACTGTGCCCCCCGCAGTAATGCCTAAGATGTTGCTGCGGGTAATGTTCCAAATAAAAAAAAATAAAAAAACTGTGATGCTTTAAGGTATCTGCTATTAGCCCGTCATGCAAAACTTAATGAAACAAATGTAATTGAACATCACAGCAAACGAGTACGCATAGTAACATAAGTACCCTTTGAGAAGCATTTTTAATTTCTGTACCGAAATTTGCACATTTTTTCATTTGCAAGTGAATTTCATCTCGAGCATGCCAACTTAGTCTGTTTTGTCTTTTAAATGATGTAAATATGTAAATGATGTAAATGATGTAAAAATGTGTCATTAAAGTGTTGTTCCAAAGATGGGATGAAAAATTACTGCTGCAGTGTTGGCTGCGAGGCTTACGAGCGAAGTTTTGCGAAGACAATGCGAGGAAATATTTCATGTACAAGGAGCATATTTATTTATTAATTTATTTATTTATTTACAGATACTGTCACCTCCTACACAGGGCTATTGCAGGAGTGAAAATAAATACATTAAAACAAAACAATCATTCTAGAATCAGAACACAATTTGCATGTATAGGCAGAACTAACATATAAAGCACAAAATGAAGTACACCAAGAAATTAAATGCACTAGATCATGGGCAGGCAAATAAGGTTTTGTTAGATCTAAATAAAAATGTCTATTTGTTTAAAGGGACTGTCTAACCCTCGGAAGAGTTTTTCTGATTGTGGTGCCATTGAAAAGATCATTCATCACATTAGCAGCAACAAGCATGTTTTCATGCCAGAAAAAGGGATCATAATTCTAACTTGATGTTGAAAGTCTATAAAAAGTGATCACTAGCGTCACCCAACACTGAATGTGGTCAATCTTGACAATGTATTGGTAGGACGAGAAATATTCGCAGGTAGAATTATTTTGCTTAAAAACAAACACGTTGCACTTGAATTTGTATCTTATGCAATTGAGGCAGCCTTGTATTGCGCCAGAGACCAATTTTTGCTTCTTTTTTTCTCACGCTTTAAAATAGGCGCTCCGTGGCGCTGCCGGCGGCGTGTTCGCTTGCCTGCATGCCTGCCTGCAAAGGGTGGAGAAATGCGACTACGGCATCCGCCGCTACTCATGAGAAGAACAAAAAATTGTGTGCGTGCCTAAACAGACCACTAAGGTAGTTGTTTTATCAATAACCAAACTCTATGAAGCCTGCGAAAACCGCACGTGGTTTCATCCCACCAATGAAAGGAGACATAACCCGGACAGAAAAACTCAGTTTTAAAATTTTCTACCCACTTTCCAGAGAAACCGCTACAGGGTTAGACACTTCACATGGTATGGTTTTTATTGGGGCACATAGCAGGAGAGCAGTGAAGGACGGTAGACAGTCCCTTTAAAGAATAAGCCTGTGGATGAGTACAAAAAGGCCTAATCGGTCAAAGAATTCCATTCACTGATAGCTCTTGGAAATAAGTGATACTTATAATAGCAGCCAGTGTAAACAGTAGGAGCAGGAATGAAAATTGAATGGCAATGTATAGAAGTTTCAATTGCAAGAATATCAAAATAGCATATCTTATATGAGCACAGTAACTAATAATCAGGTAAAATATTTACGTCTTTTGTGTTTAGTTCTAGCCTGAATCACGGGTAGCTGTTCTAGTGCACACAGTAGATGGTGAATCTGTTGCGGGCTTGCGTTGACCATTGGTTGGGGTGTACGGTGCCTAGCAGGTTCCGGCGAGTGAGTGAGCTCTGGCGCGAGGCCTCGCAACCGTCGACTGGAGCGATGCACAGGAGTTGCTACCGGTGACAATGATTCTGGACTCGATGAACAGCTCCCAGCGGGCGTGTGAAGCATCAGACAGGGTTGCGGCCCAGCACCTCCACCAGTGTTGCGGTACAACATGAATAAAACACAGGTACACCTTGAGGCAAGGAAAGCAGCGTGTTCTCAGCAGCTGAGCCACAAGATCGTCTTCTTCGGTCTCGAGTGAAGCTAGAGGCCCACTACCTCGTGTCCACTAAATCCCCCATCATCGTTTTCGTCCACATGTAGACACGCGTCAATATTTACGTCTTTTGTGTTTAGTTCTAGCCTGAATCATGGGTAGCTCTGCTAGTGCACACAGTTGAGATGGGGAATCCGTCTACCAATATTGAATAATAATAAATTGTCCAGTTAGATGCTGAATTTTTTCAATTTTCAAGATGTTCGTAACAGAGAAAGGTTTTTATGTATGTTTGTATGTTTATGCACATATGTACAATGCAAAATTTCCATCGGATATTCAGAGGACAACAAATGTAGAGAAAGTATGTGAAGAAAAATATCAGACAAAATATTGATGGCAAGTCTGAGCACACAGATGTGTAGATGCAGGGTTCATACTCAACAATAAAGAGGGTAAGTATTAGGTCCAACAACTAGCAATCACACACACAGTCACTGCAATTAGCACAATACCGGACAACACAATGCTGAGCCAACAGAGGCTATAGGCACTTATGTTGGATATCAGATCAAGCTGAATATGTTGCTGGCGGTTCCGTATCATGGCCTCTTTCAAACGGGCCTGGTTTTGCCTGGCTGATATGAGCACCCAAGTGAGGAGGCCTAAAGTGAATAACGAGCTAGTGCCACAGCCTACACCACTATCGCTCCACATGCACAGTTTTTTTTTTCTTCATAGTGCTGCTCACACAAGTTCCTCAGCGTTCTTTTTCATCTTGCTCTGTCCTGTGGAAGTCTCGGCACAGTTTTTTTTTTCATATTCTGTACCTTTCATCTCTCTGTGCCATCTGGTCTTGTGACAGGTATTAATTATGAATTCGCCTTTTAACACGTGTCCATAAACTTCTCCTTGTATCGGAAATTAGCCTAACTAATAGCAGGCCATTGCACATCGGGGCTATTGAAGATGAATAGCTGGGGAAGATGAATCCTGGCTCTTGCATGTGAGCTCATCGCAAGAGCTATGTTGGCATTATGCATGTGAAAAGGCGAGCGAAGGACCATCGATGCTAATAACAAAATTTAACGATGCTTTCATTAGTTATGGCAAACTGCCATACGTAATTCAGAATGATGAAAACGGTCCACTTGTATACTGAAGCTGTCATCTTAATTAAATTTCTGCAAGGCAGGGCCAAACAGGGACTTTCTTCAAGCAATGTTTCTCAATGGCTTTTAAGTAATTGAATTGAAGTCCTCTATTTTACGGTATTAGACTTCTTAGCGCCCTCACTACTAGATCATTTTCAATACCTGCAGAAATACCCACGTACGAGTAGTGAGTGGAAAGCTGACTGATGTTCCAAAGGGAGAAGTTCCACCTGTTCACGGCACTTGTTGGCTTGAACTCACAGCAGCGTCTGTAGTGGTTGAAGGAAGGCCACCGAACTGTCCAGAAGAACTTTATTGTATCCTGGACAGTGCTGTTCGACAGCATGAACACCAGCCTCACAGACAGACCTGGAGCGAGCGATGTGCTTTGTGAAGTCCGCCTGATGCATGTCGACATTGTGGTATGTAAACAGTCTCGTTTGAAGAGGCAGATGTTCTAGACTGGCATATTGCACGTTCAAAGGGTACTCGGAGCAGTAATATCTGCTCCTGACAACTAAGCTTCCGACAGTGCCGTTGCCTTCACGTTCCACCTCCTGAACCATGGCAGGGAGGCTGGAGTGACGTAGCGGAACCATCAATTCGTCTATGTCTACGTGGATGTAGTATTCTGCACTGGACATGGACCGGAAGATGCAGTCGTACAGACCAGGCATTTGGCCCTCAGCGTGGACATCTGCAGCGTCGGCAATGAGCTTAAACGGGATGAGGGTCACGTCAACTCCTTTGGCCTGTAGCCATGCCAGAAGGAGCTTTGCATCGGAGGACACTTTGGGCTCGTGGCTTCGGACGAGGCTGGTGATGTGAATCGCGTGCTCCGTGGTGTTGACGAGGAAGGCGGAGAAGACGTGGATGTTGTCCGTCACAGCATTCCACGACTCTCGCTCTGTCCTAGGGAGCCCTTCTGTCGACATTCGCAGCGCTTGCCCGAGCATTTCGTCCCAAAGACGAAAGTAGTGCTCCGACTGGACTTCGTTCTCACTCGGGCAGGTTGTCCCTGCGGGCAGTGTGAAACAAGTTACAACGTTCATTGCGCGAGGTAAGCTGTAAGCAACTGCATATGCTCGTGTAATGGCGCTAGTTTTACAATGGAGCTGTGTGAAAAATAGACAGTTATAGTATACCGGACTTACCGGGTGTGCCGTGATAGTGGGATCGAAGTGCGCACGCGCAGATACGTACGTTACTCACCACTTACCGTACGCGTGCTCTTTTTCGGATTTAATATTATCGTGTTAGCGTAGGTTTACGTAGTGTACGTAAAACATGGCAGCTCTCGCACTCCCGCTTCGAAGTGATTATGGCATAGTTGTTGAAAGATTCAGTTCGTTCGCAGTAAACGATTGTTTAAAGTGGCTTCGCTTGCCTTCAGTTAGCTTCGACGACCGAGAATTACGGATAAGTTGGCGCAGCTTTTGAGATAGCTTCCGATTTCAAATGTGTCTAGGTGTAACTACAGATCGATGTAAACAAATCGGTAAATAAATGTTTTCGCGTTTGTTGCATGGTTCATAATTATTTACTTTTATTATTACGAAAATCGACTTGTAACAATGTTCCGCGCGGTGGCACAGGCAAACATATACTCATAGTCTTTTCCTTTTCACAGTTTTTTTTTTACTTATTAACCATACGATAGGTGGTGCCACCATCTCAGCTGGGGAACGTAAACCACGTAAATGCTATCCCGCTAAACTTTAAGACACGTTTGATGCACGGTAACGCCATTTCCTTAAGCTCCGCTATCACGCTAGCGGAAAACTATTAACTGTCTAATAGCGCGGGTACAGAAAGTGGTACGGGTAACGTACGCATCTGCGCACGCGCACTTCGATCCCGCTATCACGGTACGCCCGGTAAGCCGGTCTACCGGGCGTACCGTATAGCAGGACCGAAGTGCGCATGCGCAGATACGTATGTTGCCCGTACCGCTTACCGTACGCACGCTCATATTTAACGTTACCGTGTTAGCTTAGGTGTACGTAAACATGGCGGTGCTCTCGCACGCCCGCTTCGAATTGATTTTGGCATAGTTGTTGAAAGATCTTTTTTGTTCGCAGCAAATTGGGTTGGCTTCAATCGCCTTCAGTTAGCTTTCATGGCCGAGTATTACGGATAACCTGGCGTAATTTTTGCGATAGCTTCCAATTTTGAACTTCCCTAGGCCTAACTAAAAAATGGATGTAAGCAAATCGGCAACCTGAATGTTTTCGTGTTCGGTGCGTGGTTCATATTTATTTACTTTTATTATTACTAAAATTGACTTCTAACAATGCTTCGCGTGGTCGCACAGGCAAACATAGTCATACTCTTTTCCTTTTCACTGTTTTCTTTAACTCATTAACCATCCGATAGGTGGCGCCACCATCCCAGCCAGGGCACGTAAACCACGTTAACTCTATACCGCTAAACTTTAAGATGCTGTTCGCAACGAACGTATGTTGCACGGTAACGACATTTTCCCAACATCTGCTATCACGCTAACTGTAAACCATAACTGTCTATTGGTTAAGGGCACGCTTGCCTGTTGGCCCGACACCCAGAAAACTTGGTTGGTCCTCAGCCGCCGCTACCGCGTGTGACGAAAGGAATGGCACATCAGCAAAAGCTCGGGTTCTTTTTTGTACGCTTATTGAAACTTATTGGCAGGAGCGAAAAACGACGGAAGAGGAAATTACAGTTAAGAAACGGTAGTATATTGACTAACAGCTTGATTTTTGAAAGGGCATACGGGAAGTGAGCTCAGTTCGCCAGACAGCGCCAGTGACGGTCAACGTACATCCGGGCACCGTAACGTGGCATGTTCAGTGATCCGGCATATGCCAATCAAATGGCATGTGAGTAGATTAGAAAAAAAGTTACAAAAAAATAACACGTGCGACCTTCGTTGTCATCTCACGATGGCGACTATGTATACGGGCATGGTTACTTATAGCGTTCTTCAAGACACCCTATGGTGACCTCTTGCAGATACGTCCCGTGGATACATCTTGCTTAATGCACGTATGAATTTCGACCGATGTACGCCGGCGTTTGATAAGTGACGTATTCTAAGGAGACAGAAACGCTCGTGAAATAGCAAAAGCGTATGCGATGAGCTGGAAGGCGCTTTTGCGCAAGCGCACCGTGACTTCGTTTATTCGACAAATACCTGCATTATCTGAATAGTTTGAGACACCTTACTTGCGGTCGCAGGAGCTGGTCGATGCGCCATTCGCTTGGCATCGCAGTCAACCTATTTTGACCACGTGCACACCACCCATGAGAGATAAGCGTTGTTTCAAACCAAGTCCGAGTTCAGTATGCACCGCGCGTGTTGTCCTTTCTTACAGCGTCGTTTAGCGCTCCTCAAAGCTATAAAGTTATATTTTACGTCGCAGTCGACGTCAAGAACTCTGGCAGCGAGAAGAAATCAAAGTATACCGTGAGGTGATCAATTACACGGCCGCCGAAAACTTTCCACGTACAGTTCAGGTCCCGAAGAGTGTCGATGACTGGGGAAGCTTTCGTAGCACGGAGTGGTTCGGGCAGCCAGGCCACGCTTGAGTCCGCGATCCAGGCCACGCTGTTGTATCCGCGTCTTAGGAACAGCAGGACAGTGACACAGCCGAGGAACAGCACAGCAAGCGCCAGCAACCTGGAAGACCTTATACTCACCGCCATTGGCAAACGTCGTACTGCGTAGTGGAGTAACAGACTTTCCCTGAACATCGTACGCCGCTGCGACGGATCGGCTGTCACAAGCGGCAGCTGGAATACGGTGAGTAAAAGCAGGCGCTTACTATTTTACCCCGATGTTACTTTAACAGCAGTTACAACCCGAGAATAGGTATACAAGCACCTTGCATGGGTGCCGGCAGGATTGTGTCTTGGCAGATGCAAACTCGTGTGGGGGGGGGGGGGGGGGTTGGGGAGGCATAGATTGGGGCAAATACTGGTGCGCCTTAGTAAAAGTGGGGGGGGGGGGCATGGTTTCATCACCAGAACGACGGCGTGCTGTGGAACAGTGTCTTGCTTGGGGGCTTCCTTTGTTGTCATAGACACTTCGCTTCAGATGCGAGTACATACTACGTAGTATATACTACGTACATACTACGCAAGTTTGTCGTCCCTGCCTAAGTTATTACTTTCCCTGAGCAGTAACGTCGTAGTCTGTGTTACAACTTGACAGGACTTGAGTGAGTTCGCAGGGCTCATTCATTTGTAATAAATGCTTAAAGGGGCCCTCCAACACCAATGAAGCACCTATTTTTTTATTTGTGGTTTGCGTAGACCAATAGCTGGAAATAATTTTAACATAGGTCTAAGCGCCGGTATCAAATGACTAAGTATTTTAATCACGCGCAGCCTGAGTCGGCATCAGCACGTGGTGGCTCTCGCCGGAATTTTGCTGGCGGCAATGACGCCGGAATTTTGCCGCCATGTGAATGGATAAATGTAATGTTAGAAGGGATCGTGGTGTAGGATCAAAACTGAGGTTACTATAATCTGTTTCATTTTTCTTCTGGTGCTTTCTCATCGAACCCTGAACAGACGCGGCCACAACAAAGATCACTGCGAATTCAAATCACGATAGAGGCAATAACTGCCATTTCAACACTGTATTTTTATCGTGCACGGGTAGGCTGTCCATACAATTTACCTCTCTTTCTTCCATCTTGCTTTTGGGAGTTTGCGAGCTGTCGCTTTCCAAACGTGCGTTGTTGAAGGGGTGCATGCGCCATGTCAGTGTGGCTAGACTCATGTTGTTCGTCGGGTGTCCTTCCACAAGTTCCTTTCTCAGAATAAGAGGGAGTGACTCGGAATGTTGTAAAAGAAACAGCAGAAAATACCTCGCTTCGACACAGTAGCTCCCACCCACGTTCTGGCAAGCACAGGCACCACGTTTTTTACTGTGGCAACAAAGCCAACATTACTTCGAAAAAAAAAAAAAAAGCAGCTTGGGGTGCGAGCTTCCCTGCGAAAGGCGCTTTCAGCTTATTTCACTCGGGCGGCATCCGACGTCACGGGCGAGTGAAATGTGGTCATGTCAATCCGCGACAATCCAGTTGAAGGTCGGCATTTTTTTTTCCAGTATCTTAAATTTCCTAGTCGAATAACTTCAGAGTGCATGCCATTATCACTGGCGCTTTTGCTGTATTAGCCTGTCTGTACTTCAGTCTACACAACTCATGTATAAAACATGAGGTGTTGAATAGTGTTGGAGCACCCTTTACGGGGGTGCGTATTTCGTTGTATGTAGCGTGCCGTGAAACCTGAGCAGAGAATTGATGAAAAAACTTTATTGGGGTCCTGAAGGGATCCAAATTAAGCCGCAGTCCTGTGCTACGACGCGCTTCATTGTGTCGTGGTGCTTGCACATAGAACGCCAACACAAGATAGCAGGCTATACATAGGAGTAGGGGACCCGTATTGTCGACGTTCTTTTAGGGGCGAAGCTTCCTAAAGCGGCACCCGCTCGTCCCTCGTCGTAGTCGTAGTGCGCGACTAGTCTTACGCTTTGACCTGCAAGGTGGTGCCGGTGGGAGATTTCTCCTGTGCGTTGTCGAACAATAAAAAATTCGTAGCGTACGCAGTAAATAAAAGCGAAATTCTCCTGTATCTCATTCCCAATTAGCAGCCATTGGCATGAACATTGAGCACTATCTGACAAGAAAGGGTTGCTAGGTTATACTCGTTGGGCGCAACCTCCTTGGTTTTAGAAAGGTTTAACGAGCGTTGGGCCGCAGTGCCATGAATACAGTGAACTATAGTATATACCATTAACTCGAGGTGGTTAAAGGCGGGAAGTAGACAAGAAGCGCAAGCCGCAAGAAAGTGTGCGTGTGCCACCTCTCGTTTAGTCCTTGGAATGTCCGCTGGATGGCGGTGCTTCTATTTGCGGAATATAGGATGAAAATATGCGAGATGGTGGTACTTGGAGTGTTGACTAGATGTACGAACGGACACACAGACAGGTGCGTGGACGGACGCACGGACGGGTGGATGGACGCATGGACGGTCACACAGATGGACGGATATATGATGACAAGATGCGAGATGGTGGTACTTGGAGTGTTGACTAGATAGACGAACAAACAGACAAATGCATGGACGGACGCATGGATGGCTGCACGGACGGATGGACGCAGGGGTGGATGCATGGACTAACGCAGGGACGGACGCACGGACGAACGCATGGACGGATGGAAGCGAGAATGAATGGACGGACGGATGCTTCGCCCCACTCTCCATCGTTCACCCCGTTGATATGCTGCAATTTTTTAAATCTTTATACATGTGGGTGCTCAATGGTATACCACCTGCGTTTCGCGTAGTAACGACTATAAATAAAAGTGGAGTCGCTAACGAAGTACGTGTGCTGTAGCATTGACGGCGTACGTGCGTGCATGTTTTCATGTGTGTGCATGCATTTGTGCGCCTGATGTTCTCGTTTAGGACACGTTATGAAACTCCGCACATATGTAGTCACCCAATTGTACCTCCTAATACTGTTGGTGCGGAATTCGACGATTACGTGATATGGGGGAACAAGTTTTCGTGAGCCCCGTCAATAATGGTTATTTTTTTTTCAGGCAGCGAACTTAATTTAACCCAGTGCTGCTGCCACCCATGTTTTACCATATACCTAAGAAGGCACTGTCGTACATGGTTGCCAGATGCCCCTGAGACAACAAGCAAATGATCATCCGAAAAGTAGCCCAAAAAGCTGCGTAACCTTTCAGAAAATGCGCGAAAAAAATGTTGGCGAAATTTCTCATTCTTTGACGCATTTCTTGATTGTCACGTAAAGACCTCGAATACAAATGGTAGAAAAGTAACATTAATTATACTCGACTGTGCAGTATGCGCAGCCATGAAAAAAGATTGCATAGTTGCTTTTGAACATTTTACATATTTGAACACATTTATTGTAGGGTAGTCAGGTAGTCTCCGCTCGGCTCATTGCATGTTTTCCATTGTATGATTAAGGTTGCTTGTTGACTGTATGTTTGATTGCAACGCTCAACACAGTAATCGCTAAACGTGCTATTAGTGAACGCAACGGGCACTTAGACAACATTTTAACGAAAAATGCCAATGGGCCTAAAAAACGTGACAATCAACCGAAAAATTCAACCAGCTACTCGGCGAAAGGAGCCCAAGTCTGCTTATTATCAGTGGAACTCGCAACTGTGCTGTTGCGGGAAACAGTTGCAACTAGCTCGAGGTCAATTATCACAGCTACGTGTTTATGAGAGCCGATATGAGAAGAATCGTCAACCATAGCTTACCTATCGTTCCGCGGAATATATATTTTTCTGTGTGTATGAGAGACTCCAAACACTGCACCAACTAGGCGGGAGGCGAGGTTCTAATTTGCTCGCAGAGATGATTCTGTGGCGTTAGCGGTATTTTCTGCGAGGAACTTTTCAATTCTGGTATCCGAGGTTGCGTAGACGCCACCTGCAGTTACAGTTGGAAATGATCCTTACCACACTGAATGCCGCCACTTGCTCGACGGGGAAACAAAAAGAAGAAAAAACGGGGCGTAGAAGCAACGCGCTATACGCGAGCAGGTGGTTTCTGTCGGTGACGGTTCTTTCTCTTTTGCACTTTTTTATCATTTCGTTTCCGCCAGCTTCACTTTCATCCCGTTTTATTGGACTACTCTTAACTGTTATCCAGTAACTCGCGACTGTTTTAACCTGTCTCTTCATGACTCACCCGACCCAGTTGAACTTGTGATATTTTCACATACGACATTTGCGTCAAGTGTACAGTTTGGTGACGTATGCTTGCACCTGGCTTGTAAGTCTGGCGTAGAGGTTTACAAGTGGCAGAAAAGTAGACCAAAGCATAGTTCTGCGCACGGCGGCGCAACGGTGACAATTTCCGACTAGTAACTTTACTTTCGGCTTTTAGGGGTGAAGCTCTTCAAGCTGTGGGTCGTTCCCTCCTCTGTAGCAGTAGTAGTAGCAGTAGTATGTAGCCACCTCTAGTTTATGAATTGGTCAATGGACGATGGTGTGTGTATACGTCCTTGGAAATATCACTAGATGACGTTAGTGCTTTTCGCATAGTTCATGATTTCGTATAGTTGACGGACGAACAGACAGACACAGACGGGCGGACGGACAGAAATACAATTGGGTGGATGGAAGAACAGACACAGACAGATGGACAAACAGACGGATGGGCGTAAGCACGCACGAAAGGACGGACGGACCAGAGCATGTACGGACGGACGGACAGACGAACAGGACAGACGAACAGACCGACGCAAGCACGGACGAGAGAATGGATGCAAGCTCGGACGGAAGCATGGACGGACGCTTTGCCCCACTCATCATCATTCTCTTCGTGGATATGCTGTGATTCTTTTATGAATGCGAAAGTTCGTGAGGAGTAAGATAGATCAGCGAATGGCGGAAGACTGGTAGTAATTAAGGCGGTTGTTTGGCTGGCTACCCTGCACTGGTGGTAAGGAAAAGGGGAGCTGAAAAAGAACCAGATGGAGAGAGCGTATGTCAAGGGCCCCCACCGTAGTTTTCGTGTGTCGCGAGTAAAGGACATGGATAAATACACACACATACACACACAGCTAAGGTGCTGTGTGTTCATGTGGTTCTACATCTCTCCTTGTAGAAGGTAGTCGCTGGTGCTAGCATTTCGACGAGGTGCCTTGCCCTCTGCATGACACCTCGCCCCCAGTTACTGCTTTTAGGAAAACGGAGCCACTTGTCGAAACGGTGACCTCGGGGACACCTATAGTGTTCGAGGCTTCCGTCTTTCATCCCCTCGTGGAAATATGTCGTTTATTTGCGCTACAAGAAAACCTACTCAAGAAATATTGGCAGCAGGGTCGCACAGAATCCGCTGTTGCGTTTAGATAATACGGCGTTAACTATGGCCGCCTTCGTGGTTGACTTTCACGTGGCCGTTTGATCTTCCGTACGGTGCTAAAACACGAACGTGAAGCGAACTATAGCTCTTCACCCAGTTGGCGGTGGTTTGAAGGTACTACAAAGCTCACCTCAATGTTTTATCCTCTGCAAATGCCCGATTCCAAATGCCTGTAGATATCTCATCCACAATCGTATGCTCCACGGAGCGACTTATGAAGGCAGTATGCAACGCGATCGAGAAAGCCCCCGAGATTCGCTGTGCAGCGTTCGCAGTGTCGTCGTGGATAATACTCAGAATATAATGTCGTGGTTGAGCGCGAATTTTCTTGTCGAGGTGAGCCTAATGTTAATATTTATTTAATTAATTTTTAAAAAATACTGCTGTCTTGCTTTCGAGGCATAACAGGAATGGGTACACATTTTAGTACTAAGATAGAGCAAACAAAATTAAACACTGAGATTATACAAACAAGAAGAATAAATTACAACAAAATCTCTCATCAGGTGCGAGTTCAGAAATTGATAGGAACACAGAAAAAGAGCAACCGTTAAGGCAACGTAAAAACAGCTTAAAACTAGATGGAGTTATGCAGTTTCTCAACGAACTCCTCACGAGTCAATGCGCGAAACATCCAAATTGTTCCAGATTTCTACAGTGAACGGTAAAAATCTAAGTTTAGAACAATCAGCGTGTTCTGAAAGGAAAAATGCTGATTTTATGGGTGTGCCTAGTAACACGTCTATTACGTGTTACTATAGGCACACCCTTTTGTGCTACACGTGTAACACGTGTAGCACAAAAGAAAATGGTGCCTCAATACCGGACGACGTGTGGACCATACTGCACATCCAATAGAAATCTGTTTTTTTTTGCTTTGATCAAATTGACCTGATAATGTATTTCAGATAGCAGATCTTGGCGTGAGATTTTGAGTGAACGAAGAAAGTCTCGGCAAGGTGCTTTAGGAAGCTGGTGTCCCTCATAACCATATCATGGTTTTGGGACATAAACCCGAATGTCCAAAATGTACTAAATGTATTAAATGCCCAAAACATGAATGGTGAGGCTAAATATATGTTTATGACATGCCCATGTCTACTCCGCAAACAGTGAAAAAAAAAAGGAATGCGATATCTTGGTCACTCGCTTTCTGCAGTTGTAACTGCCACACATCTAAGCACCCGAAGGGTCAGGCAGGTCACACTACGACGCAGAGTACGCATCGGCAGGGTTGGCGATCGTTTGTTAAAATACCAACACAATTGGCTGTCAGGTGTACCTGCTGATTCCACGTATGCCACGGCGATTACATGAAATTCACGTTACATATACAATGGTCATGAACTAAAACGCGACGACATAAGCGTAAGTATAACAACCGATTTGTGTGATTGGTCCATATAACCACGTAATGTCTCTACAAGCTATAGATAGTACCTAAAGGTAATTCTGAATCTGATGTAAGTGCACGAGTCGAGAAGACGTCGATCTGACACAAGCTGAAGGTGCTGGAAACGAGTGTGCAGGGCATTGCTTAGCCTTACATTGTCGCCCGTTAATCTGTGAGCACTGCGCACAAATTCATAAATGTGTGCATGACATGTGTGTTTTCAGTGAAATTCTCGTACACACCGACGTCGAGTGAGGAGCTGGCGAGGAATCGTGTGGATAAGGAGACCTCAATGCATTATCCGTGTCAAATGTAACCGGAACAGTGGCAAGGCTTCGCGATGGTATAGTACGCGCATTCCACTAATCACCATGCACGGGCACGCGTATATGCGCCGAGGTGCCTAACAGGTGGCGCGCGCCTGTCAATAGTGATAACTGGACGGTGTGCACAATACTATCGCGAAGGCTTGCCGCTGCTCGGGTTTTATTTAACGCTGATAGTATACGTTTTATTTTTTGACAGTATTCGCTTGTAAAGTGGGTCCAGCTGCGTTAGAAGTGCTCTGCAACGAAGAGTGCAATTCTTTCCTGTGTACATTTTCGTGAGGAGAAGTGGAGAGGGCGATATCCGCTGCTATCAGGCACATCTCTAGCGTACGTAATCGGATGTACCGATAAGTTTTACTGGTCACTCAAAGATTATAAGCAGGTACGGCACTTGATTGTCTCGCGCGCTTTGGCGCCCACTAAAACAACCGAAATGCACCAAGAACCTGCTTGAAGCAGTCCGGTATATCTTGAGTTTTGCTGACAAGTGTCGACTCGAGATGTGCTTCAGGTCGTGCTCGCCACAGTCATGGGCGGTTCTTGGAAGCACAGCTTTCGCCCAGACTGTCACCTGTCCATCATCGCTCAGAACATGAGCTCGAAGCGGACGCGGATCTCATCCGCGCTGACATAGCCCTCCTTCTCGAGGTCGTGGGCGTGGCAGAAGTTGCCCGCAGAGTAGACCGGTCCGGTCGGCGTCGTCTCTCCGTTAGGCCTGACCAGGCTGTCGGCGAACGCTTCCAGTTCGGGCATCAGCGTCAGAGACCGCGCCCGAGGTCTCACCCGTGGATGGATGAAGGTGACCCTGCAACACCTGCGGAACGGCCACTCCAGGTATTCGTCGTTGGTCCCTTCCTTGAGTTCTATTACCAGGTGAACTTTGAGCACTCCCTCTTCTCCGTCTTTCCTGACCAGGAGGAGTCCGGGAGACAAGTGGTAGCCGTGGAAGTACAGTGGTTTCTCGTGGTACCAGGCCTCGCCGTGCGTGGTTGCCCTGTCCTTGAGAGCGGCCCAGCCACGTACCACCCACTCCTGGAAGTTGGAAACGCTGGACGCGAACTCTAGCGTCTTGGTGGCGACTTTCATTAACCTCGAAGTCTCCCGGTTGACGTCGTCTTGAAGCCGTTGCAGGGACTCGGTGGTTTCTTCCATCACGGCGTCCATCTTCTTTCCGAGCTGCGACGTCATTTCGGACACGTCGTCTTTGAAGCAGGAGTATGTGCCGTTATGCCAGTTGTTGGCCTCGGTAGCGTGGTCCTTCATGGCGCTCAGCACTTCTAGCTTCGTGGCATCCAAGCATTGAATCATCACGCCTTCGCAGCACTTGCGCTCTTCGGGGAGCTGTTCCCGGATGGAGTGCAGCTCGTTCAGTATTCTTCGGTTTAACCGCAGCAGTTCCGTCGTGGCGTCATCGCTTCCAGCGCTCGGCCCCGCCCCGCCGCGGACTTCTTCAAAGCTGCCGTACGCGTTGTCACCTGGGCCGTCGTCCGGCACGTTCTCGCTAGTCTGTATGAGTATGTTGGAACTGCAGCTGTCTTTGAGGTGCTGGACGACGTCCTTATGGAGAACCTTCTTTCGGCATCGCGTGCAGACGACGTTGTAATACTCACACGCACTGTAGCAGTGCTCGGCCATCTTACAAGCCTCCGTCTCCACGGGGCAGCCGTTCTTCGCGTTCCAGCAAAGGACCTACAAAAAAGAAAGCCACTTTATATAGTATCATAAGTTGTAAAAAACTCTGACGGGGCAAAGAGGGGTGGGGGGGAGGAATTACAGTCATTAGAACCTGGAAGGCATGCTGATGCAAGATTTTAGGGGCGAAGCTCCTTAAAGCGGCACCCGTTCGTCCCTAGTCGTAGTTAGTAACACGTCTTACGCTTTCACCTGCAAGGTGGTGCCGGTGGGAGATTTCTCCTGTGCGTTGTTGAACAATAAAATATTCGCAGCATGCGTGTTAACTAAAAGCCGAATTCTCCTGTCTCTCATTCCTTATTAGCAGCCATTGGCATGTACATTGAGCACTATCAGACAAGAAAGGATTGCTACGTTATACTTACTGGGCGTAACCTCCTTGGTTTAGAAATGTTTAGCGAGCGTTGGGCCGCAGTGCCATGAATACAGTGACTAGTATATACCATGAACTCGAGGTTGTTAAATGTGGGAAGTAGACACGAAGCGCAAGTCGTAAGAAAGTGTACGTGTGCCACCTCTCGTTCAGTCCTTAAAATGTCACGCTGGATGGTGGTGCATATGCGGAATATATGATGAAAAGATGCGAGATTGTGATACTTGGAGTGTTGACTAGATGGACGAAAGGACACACAGAGAGATGCATGGACGGACGCTCGGATGGCTGCACGGACGGTTAGATGCATGGACGTACGCAGGGGTGGATGCATGGACGAACGCAGGGACGGACGCACGGATGGACGTGTGGACGCACGAACAGACGCACGCATGGACGGGCGGATGGATGCACAGACGGTCACACAGGCGGACGCATGGACGGACGGAAGCAAGAACGAATGGACGGACGGATGCTTCGCCCCACTCTCGAACATTCACCCCGTGGTTATGCTGCTATTTTTTGAGTGGCTTCATTCTTTTGCTGATATAAAGAAATAATTGAGGCGAACAAATAAGTAATTTGTATAACTTTAGCTGCGTCCTTGTTGCTACTCGTTTGAAATGTTGTGTACATTACTGCTCCTTGTGCAATTTCATGATCGGCACCGGTTGCGGCATTTTGTCGGGCATTTAATTGCCTTTTTGCCAACCCTGTCTACTTCCTTGACATATATGATCAATGCGTAGTACACGGTACTCTGTAAATAATTGAAGAAACATGGTGTAAAGCTAAGAAAACACACATAAGACTCATATGTATATACAAGGGAAATGTAAATTCTTGTTTTTTTATTTTTATTCTGAAATATTTAGGAAACCGTTTCAGCTAATTTCACTGCTAGGTGCACATTAAACTATGTTGGCCGACAAAGAAAAAGAGTTACGAACGAGAAGTGTGGAGAATTGGGCGCTAGATTTACACGCTATTTTTTTTCTTACACACTGGTCAACGGTATAATAGGCCGCTTCGTAATATTTGCATGCGTTGGAAAGCCGGATATATCGGTGCAAGTTTTGAAAGGGATCCGCTTATCGGCTCGGTGGCGACATGGTCTGCACCTGAGATTGTTTTTATCTGTTCATACGCCGGGAAGCAGGCCTGGACATCACTGTTTTTCCAGTCGCGGGGACTTCGCCTGATAACTCGCTTGTTTCAAGTACAGGAAAAAGTCACGGGGCAAAAGGTAACTTTATTTTACTGCGATACCCTAAAGTAGAAATCATCCGCCTTTAAGTCACGAGCAAGCGATTGAGGTGGCACTAGTTTTAACATTGAGGTTCAGGTGCAAAAAAAAAAAAGTCACGGGATAGAATAACGGTCAATGCAGTCGAATTTTCGATAAAAATGAAAATGATTGAGACTTATGTACTTCGATTTAGGTGCTTGTTAAAAAAATCGAACTGGTCGAAGTTTTCGGAGCCCTCTACTATAACGTCCCTCAAAATCATGCCGTAATTTTTGGATGCTAAACCTTATCATTATTATCTAGTGAAAAAAAAAATCTCGCAACTTACTGGTATAAGTTTTCTCTGTTAGCGTCACAGATAGTATAAGCTGATATAGGGCAGACGATTCTCAATTGAGTTATTAGGTACTCTACGGAAGTGTACCAGTGCGTATGTCTCGCTTTTTATGTTTTTGCCTAGGTTTGGTTCGTTGCTTAGCTTATTCGCAACGTGGAATATCTGTTGCAGGAAATGAGATAATGATCTGTTGTCTCGCGTACTCAAAAAAAAAGAACAGTTAGGAGAAGCTGCCAGGCCATCTCTGTGTATATAAAAATTAAGATATGGAGTCTGGCAAAGTGATCTAGTGAAGGCAACTTCAAGTTCTTTTGTTTGGCATACTTTACTGTTCCACCGGTGTCTGAGGTGCTGAAAATGTAATGTGGACTTTAAAAGTGGAGCGCCAAATTCTTCTAACATTTTTCTCCTTATTCTAGCGCCTATTATGAATTTGGACGCCGGCAATGCACGAGTAACCGGGTCATTCAAAAATATGTGTGCTAGCGCATTGTCATTTCATTCAGAAATAGGCCCTTGTGTCCTGTATGCTTAACTAACCTAATCAAATTTAAATGGGGAGAAATTAAGAATTTCAGTGCACTCAGGACATGCGAGTCCTCACTTCTTAAGAGAGAAGAACACACCGATAAGGAGTCTGTCAAAATGACTGGAGAACTTGTTGATGTTAATTTCCGGAGCACTAGGATGATCGCTAAAAGTTCTGCTGTAAAGATGGGCAAGTAAGATGCGAGATGGTGGTACTTGTAGTGTTTACTAGATGGACGGACGGACGGACGCATGGGCATACAGAGAAGTGTACGTTCGGACGGACGGACAGACAAGTGCACGTACGGACGGACACACGGACGGTCGCACGGAGGAACGCATGGGCAGACGGCAGCATGGACAGACTCACAGATGCTTCGCCCTACCCATTATCATTCCCTCCGAGGATATGCTGTGATTTTTTGAGAATGTTAAATCGCCTTTGTCTGCCTCCTTCGAAGCGAGCGATGTACGATAGTAATGGCGTGGCCTCGTCACTGCCGAAATCAGTGGCACAAAGATGCGCGTCTTGCACTACATAATGCTCGGCGATTGAAAGAAAACTTTCAAGCTGTTGTTTTTCTTTGAACATGGCTCGTACCCGATGGAGGGGATTGGCCGAGTATAAGGTGAATTTTTCCGATACTTTCACCATTGCTTAATTCCAAGGAATGCTAGTTAGTTAATTATGAATTTCTTAGTATAAATACAGGTGGTTGTTCGACTAACTGCTTCGTGTCGCTGTGAATTTGGCTGCAAGTGGTAATGGTGGCTCTGATGTAACTGTCCAGGTTGAAATTATGTTGACGTCATGCCTGTTCAAAACGCTGGAAACGAGAGCATGTGCATTATTTAGACCTAAATCGTCTTGTTTCAATTCTTGAGCACTGTACATCAACATTCTGGCCGAGCAACAGTCTTATAATACGGCTACCTGACGAATAAGCGTTACTACTGATGCGATATCTGAGCAACAGCAAAGGGGTAAAAAACGTAATATTTCCTCAACTTTCCTAGATAGCTCGGTGAGTGAACTGAGATCAGATGGAAACAGCGTTGACGTTGCAACAGCCTTACGACCTCGCTGATCAACGTTAGAATTCATTCAGCCATATTTAGACATCCCTATTCAGCAGTAGCTTCCGAACATAATCATTCCGAACATAATATTCAACACTAGCCGATATTATGCCAGCTACAACTACTCAACATTAGCCACAGATAACGAGTGTTACTAACATGTTTGTAAATACAGCAGATGTAGTCGCATCACTTGGGCGCTCGGTTAAAATGCGCTGCCTTTGAGAATCTCCATTTTCAGCCAGAAATAACCAGAATAATTGAGAGAAGTAGGACTAAAGGTGTCAAGATTTTTGTTTTAAATAAGGTTATTATCGAAAACTTCACCTCTCTATCGGGATAAAAATGCACGTGACGGAAGCACCACTTTAGGTCAAATTTGTGTGCCCTCGCAGAAGCAGTGTTTCGAGTACGACATCATCGCCAACGAGATCTGTGTGGCATGAAAAGCGTCGCTTGAAAAGTTAGTAAAAAAAATCAAATATTAACATTGTTGTAACATTGCTTTCCAATTGTCTTCATCGTTCACTGATTGACACTGCTCACCTTTTTCTTGGACACCTCGGCCCCTTTCATGACCCTCCACTCGATGTCATTGGGGTAGATTCGAATGGCGGGGTGTAGCGGACAGCCGCCAATGATCTGGCACTTGTCGTAGCACCTTTGGCATACCACGTCTCTGCAAGGAAGCAACGCCGTCCGTTCCGGTACCACGCCACACAGGCTGCAGAGGCGGGACGCCGGGAACTGCTCGAGGAACACCATCGGCCTTCGGTCGAAGTCGCGACCGAAGTCGTTTAGCGTGTACGTATAGCGGCCGGTACTCCGTCCAGGCGGGGACGCCATTTTGGAGGGCACCGTCGACGATGACTCAAACAGCTCTCCGGTCCAACTCCGCGGTCTGTGCAGTCTTGCTGCTATGCCAACTCTTGAGATTAGGCGTTGGTGACGAAGCTCTGACGTCAACTAACTTTGAAGAAGCTTTTCAGCCCACTATATATGGGCATCTTGCTGGCTGCGAACACACACAAAGAGGGTGCGAGTTGTGGTGCGTTTGCGTTTCCTCTTTTCATTTGAAGGTGGCGCTGTAAGCTGCAGTAGCACGACATACCTTATCGCAAGGGCGAGGAGGTGGTTGTGAAAGTGCGAAGAGATTTCGCGCGGGTTGTTTTGGCCGTATCTATTGGGCTGGATACACCCGGCAGTGCTGTGCTTGCTCTGATATGGGTCGAGAAAGCGCTGAACAAGGATTCCTAAAGGGTCTCTGCATTCTGCATTTCATGTCGCTTCACTTTCGATATATATAAGAGCATCGAACGCGTTATTCGAAGGTCGCAGGTTCGGTTGCTGCTCATGGCAAGTTCTTTTCTCACCCACTTTTCTTTCTTCACGTTTACATTACTATTGTCTAATAACTTCCCCTATACATTCCTTGGCATTATTGTCTGTTAGATCTCATTATTATTGTGTCAAAACACGGAAAAATGAGCTCTTAAGTATACTGATATACTGTACGGATTATTTATCACTAAAACATTGCTGCCGATTTTGTGGTATTTCGTAAGGAACACGGACGCCCTGTATTTGTCGGAACTCTGCGCGACTGAAGTCCACAGATTCACCTTGTTGACCGCTTCCGACCAGCTTATCCTTTTTCACATCCACCCTCATTGAGGATAAGCTAGATTGAGGTATACGGAATAAACAAAAGTGCAGTTAACGATAGCAGCTACAGTGACATTTTTTAACTGCATTTTTTAACTGTCTACCTATCTGTATCTATCTATCTATTCGAATGTAGGCTTGCTCCCTGCTGGTTTGACTGAGAACACAATTCTGGGGCGCCAATACCACGACACGGTTGTGACACTTGTACAGTGAAGCTGAGATAATTTTGGCTTCCAGAGATCTATCTCAGCGATGGGAAGACAATCACCAAAAATGAAGCACGCAAATATTTTAATCAACCAAAGGCACCGAAACGAATGAAAGTGCATTATTGCGTCAATTAGGTTAAGCTACAGAGTATTCACTCTAAGATAATCGAACACCGTATAAGTGCGCGAAAATTGAACTGCGCCCTGAAAATGCACCGCTGAAACAGTCAACGCGTGGGAGTGTCAAGTCCAGACGACACTTTGATGGAGTCGCTCCTCGACGAAGCTTCATTCAGACAGTGGATTCGCGTATGACAATTCAAAACACTTCCGGTGCCAATTCGCCGTTCGTGCTGCGGTTGGTGCGCTGCAGTCACGCGGCAGATTGCGTTCGTCGTATAGACAGGCCCCGCCCGCTCTATGCGTATACTATGGCCGGCACTTATATAAGCAGGTGGGTTCCAATGCCGTTGAGAATATATAAAGCGGATTACATATCATCATCATCAGCCTGACTACGCCCACTGCAGGGCAAAGGCCTCTCCCATGATCCGCCAATCAACCCGGTCTTGCGCTTTCTGTTGCCACATTATACCCGCAAACTTTTTGATCTCGTCGGCCCACCCAACTCTCCGTCTCCCCTTTGTGCGTTTGCCTTGTCTGGGAATCCAGTCAGCTTAATGACAACTGGTTATCCGGCCTATACGTGCTACGTCTCTGGCCCATGTCCATTTCTTTTTCTTGACTACAACTATGATATCTTTAACCCCAGTTTGTTCGCTGACCCAATCTGCTCTCTTCTTGTCTCTTAAGGTTACACCTTTCCATCGCTTGCTGCGTCATCCTCAACTTAAGCGGAACCCTCTATAAAAGCCTCCAGGTTTCTGCTTCGTAGGAAAGTACTGGCAAGATGCAACTGTTATATACCTTCCTCTTGAGGAATAGTGATAATCTATGTCATGATTTGAGAATGCTTGCCAAATGTGCTCCACCCCATTCTTATTTATCTAGTTATTTAAATATCGTGGCTCGCCCCGCAGGGGCGCCTGTGAAAGCAGGCGTTTGGTGTGTAGCGACACCACGGACCCGAGCTAACGGGGGAGTTTCTACTCCCTCCCACGCCTAGCCGCGCGTGGCTTTGCCGTGTCCGGGGAAAAGGGGATCCTGGGGGTTGAGCCGATGCAGGGTGATTGGACCTTAAAGGCCCCCCGGCAGAGGCAACACACCCCTTTGGCCCCGGCTTCACGTAGACGGCACCCCTGGGCTGACCCACCCAGGGAAAATCGGCAGTCGCCTTTTCCTATCCCTCTCTCCCTACATCTTCGTCTTTATCTCTTACTATTTATCTGTCCTGTCTTTTACTCTCTTCCGTTTGCTTCCAAACTTCCTGGCGGCTAGGGTTAACCCTGTGCAAGTAGCCTACCTTGGTCTAGACGCATTGGGTTATAGTGGCGTTGTACGGCTGGCGTCTGCAGTTTTCAGCATCTGTAAACTTGTAGCGTCCCCTCGTTGGGCTCCGTGGTGGGTGGCCGCCAACGCTGCTGAACAAAAATAAGAAAGGCATGCATGGAGCATTCCCCCTAATGTCTGATCGTACCGGCTTAAAGCGAGTACGCACCGATGCAATTTTTGAATTTGTTCCCAACAAAAAAGATAACTTCCCCAAGTACCACATTATCTACTGTGAAAGTACAGAAAAGAAAGCCAGAAGTATTTCACCTTTCCTTGTGTCCAAATGTCTCATAGAAGCGCTGGGCGCAGGCTACAAGGCCACAAAGACCGCCAGTGGTGACCAGTTACTTGAAATAAAAGACAACGCACAGTACCAAAGACTGCATAAACTCACAGCATTTGGGAATCAGCCTATCACAATCACACCGCATCGAACCATGAACACAGTGAAGGGTGTTGTATCAGATGGAGACCTGATGGACCTCTCTGATGATGAACTTCTAACAGGCTGGAAAGAGGAAAACGTCATTCAGGTGCAGCGTATCAAAATAAGAAGAGAAAATAAGGAAATCCCAACGAAGCACATCATACTAACTTTCGCATCTAGCACCCTCCCCACTGAAATAGCAACAGGATATCTTAAACTGCCAGTTAGACCATACATACCCAACCCGCGGCGCTGCTTTAAGTGTCAGAGGTTCGGGCACGGCTCCCAGAGCTGCCGAGGACAGATTACCTGCGCGAAATGCGGCACCAAAGGTCATACCGCTGACGATGACTGTCAGCTACAAGTGCACTGCGCAAACTGTGAGGGTGACCATCCTGCATATTCCAGGTCATGCGTGGCCTGGAAAATGGAAAAGGAAATTATTAATACAAAGTTTAAATTGAACATAAGCTTCTGTGAAGCGCGGCAGCGCGTCTCCCCGGATCTTGCTGGGAACACATCGTATGCCGAAGTGGTGCGAGGGGGGTCAGCACCACTCCGGTTTTCGGCAATGCCTTGGACTACGCCCAGCGTGCTGAGGCAAACGCCACAAGCCCCCATGGGGGGAGCAGCCTCGGCTTCCCCACCCTCCTTGAATACAGCCCCACCGAAGGCCCCTGTGAACCTTGTCAGCAGCCAGGGCACCAAACAAACTAAAGAGGTCCCCTCGACCTCCAGCCCGGTGGGGTTTAAGGCTCCGTCTGTCACGACGATGCCTACAACGAAAGCAACATTATCTGTCGTCTTTCCTGAGGTGATGGACACATCAATTGCACCGGCGCAGACTGCGCCAAAGGAGCGGCGGGGTTCCCTCCACCGCCCTAAAAAAGACAAAACGGTAATTACAGGGCCTTCTAAAGGCTCTGTAAGATAAGTCACTTCTCTCTTTAGACACCAGCCATACTCATTTCGTACACACAGCACTTCTTTACTCCCATAATGGAGACACAAATTATACAATGGAACGTAAGAGGACTACTTTGAAACCTCGACGATGTCCAAGAACTTCTACACAAACATTCTCCAAAAGTGCTGTGTGTACAGGAAACACACTTAAAATCCAAGAATACAAATTTTGTGCGTCAATATGTTGTCTTGCGAAAGGACAGAGATGATGCTGTGGCGTCATCTGGTGGTGTAGCCATTATAGTTAATCGAGGAGTAGCATGCAGTCATCTACCACTACTAACATCCCTAGAGGCAGTGGCTGTTCGAGCAGTTCTATTGAATAAGCTCGTCACCATCTGCTCTCTATACATACCGCCACAACACCGCCTGGAAAAACATGATTTCCAGTCTTTAATTGATGAGTTACCAGAACCTTATTTGGTTCTAGGGAACCTGAATGCGCACAGCGGTTTATGGGATGACTGTCGATGTGATGCACGAGGTCGTCTCATTGAACAGCTCCTCTTTTCATCAGGTGCTTGTCTGTTGAATAGAAAAGAGGCAACATATTATAACCTTGCAAACAATACTTACTCCTCCATAGATCTCAGTATCGCATCTCCTTCACTTGTACCATTACTTCAGTGGAAAGTCATAAATAATCCATACGGAAGTGACCATTTTCCTTTAGTTTTGAGTACACCAATAACATATGAATGTCCTCCACATGTTCCTAAATGGCTGGTGAACAAAGCCGACTGGGAACAATTTCAAAAAATTACACACCTAAGTTGGACCGACATATGTGGATTAGGCATAGATGACGCTGTGCAGTACTTCACGGCTTTTCTTACTGACGCAGCAGCCAAGTGCATTCCACAAACATCTGGACTGCCCGGCACACGACACGTCCCGTGGTGGAACACTGAGTGTCAGAATGCGCGAAAAGAACAGAACAGGGCATGGAGGTTGCTGCGGAACTCGCCGACAGCGGAAAACCTTGAGAGCTTTAAGAAAATTAAATCTCGTGGCAGGAGAACGCGTCGGCAGGCCAGAAGAGAAAGCTGGCACAAGTTTTTATCAGGGATAAATTCATATACACAAGAGGCTAAAGTCTGGGACATGGTTCGTAGGGTAGCAGGAAGACAAGTACACTCACTCCCGCTCGTAAACACACAGGGTGACAGCCTCGAAAATCAAGCAAACTTCCTCGGTGCACACTACGAGCAAGTGTCTAGCTCGGCACA